AGATGTGTAGTGTATGTGTGTGTATATACTGTGCACACTCTTGTGTGTTATCTAATGCGCTATGAATAATCAAGTGGAACCGAACCTCGCAGAAAGTAACTTGCTGGACGATATTCACCAGTTCCATTTAAATCACTGTACCATCGCATCTCCTCAAGCTCCAATCCATTTATAGTGAATTGTACAAGTTGGGTGTCCTTTGCATTACATTGTGGGTTGCAAAAGTACCGATGACATTCATTGTAGCATGAATAACATGGACGGAGAATCTTGAAAAATAACAAATTTTCTCAACTTTAGAATGTGACATTTTAATGCCTATACCAAATTGTTATCCTTAAATTGTATTTCATGTAGCTTGAAAGACAGTCACCAACGATAATAATAATAATAATAATAATAATAATAATAATAATAATAATAATGTTTTTGTTTTATCTTCATCATCATAAATAAAACAAAAGAGAAATCTAATTAATGAATAGTTTAGTTTTGCATTGATTTTTTTTTATTAAAAGATTAGTGAACAAATATATTTAGACCTAAATTACCAACCATAAATAACTTCACGTCTAAGTGTTTTACATATCGTAAACATAATTTCAGATTATCATTAATTGCGAATATCATATTTACCTCTACTTCGCCATGAACGTCAATAATACTTTTGCGAGTACCGATACCAGCAAGAAATTTGACAACTGGAGCAACACCACCTCTAAATGGGTTGCCATACCGGCATAAGTCTTCACTTGAAGGTGGAAGTCTAAGAGAGAAGCGCATTGACTTTATCAAAAAGTATATGAAAAGGAAAAAGTCAATTTCAATTCTTTACAATCTACTTACACTTCAATAGTATTCAATAACCGATTAACATTATTAAAATATTTACCTGATATTGGAAAATTCTACTGATGTTGTCGGAACATTAAATGGATCAGTGAACTCAGGAACATAGTTTTCATCGTTCCATAGTTGTAAACTCAGCTTTGTATTGTTGGATAAACGTGGTGCACCAGATAAATCTCCGAGAAGATTTCCATCCACAGTTAGTTGGAATGTGTATCCGATCTAAATAATTGAACGTATGAACGAAAAATAAATATATCTGAATTATGTAATTTGTTGTTCTTATTGATCTTAATCATTTGTAATGTTATATTTATGGATTATCTCATGATGAATTTTTCCATGTTTGTTTTTACTTGCGTGTGTAAGGAAGTACTGACCTTTAGAATATGTGCCGCAAATTTAAAGTGTCTTTTAAAATTTAATGATGGTTTATGTAGGAAAAACAAATTATAAAATATATTCAATAAAACATGAATAATAATAATAATAATAATAATAATAATAATAATAACTGATTTTTCTAACACACAAAAAGCATGATTAAAGAAAAAATCGGGAGCCATTGATAAGATTTTTGAATATTTAAAAACGGGGTTTTAAAGGCGGAAAGAGATGGTTATTTGTACATCACATCAAAAAAATTGACATCCAACCTTCCTTTAAATTACTATTAGTGAACTCTATAAAAATAGGAGTTGATCAATTGTGTGAGCGGCCGGTATTGTTCCTGCTTATTGGCTAAAGACCCCAATTCAATCTTGGCTAGCTCCAGGAATGTTTTTATTTTATTTTTGTTAAAAATTAATGAAAATGAATATTTTATTTACCTTTTATAATACAAAATAGATTAATGCTATATTAAGATTTACTAGTTGTCACCTGTTCTGACCAAGTTTGATTGAAATCGGCACAACAGTTTGCCACTATAACGTTTTGAAATGTTGCCAGAAAACAAGATAACAATGAACCCTAAATGACCTTAGACCTTAAATCTCTGAACACCATACTACCTTATGCCAATGCATACATGAAATGACAATACTGTGCTATGGTATTTGTGACAGAAGTGGACTTTTATACGATTTCTTTTTACCCTAATGACCCCTGTGTGACCTTTGCCCCAACAGATTAACACCTTATGTATGGGAGGCATAACCGGTTAGAATGACGAAGAATTAGAACACTAAGAAAATAGAGCCGAATCTGCAGGCGGCAGACTGGGTAATCAGAAAAATCAGAACGCTAATAGAACAGAACCTGCCTGCGACTGACCGGGTAAGGGGCATTTACTAAAAATACCTTTGTTGGATCCACATCATATTCTTCTTTGAATGTAAATTCATAATGATGCCAATCTTTTGACGGATTAAACGATAAATCATAGATGTTGTACAAATAGTCTTGTTCATCTTGGTAGAATCTACACCATAACGTGGCCGATGACAGTGTTTCATCTGTGTAGAACAAATCAAAATTATCAAGAGTATTTAAGAAGATTAAGTCAACCAATAGTCAGGGTTTTATAGTTTCAAAATGCATTGCAAGCATTATTGGCGCTCTTTAATATAGATATCAATATCGATAATATACCGGTATTCTGTCGGTATAGGATTAACATTGGGTCTAAATATTGAGTAAGGAGAAGAAGTGAGTGTGGAAGGGCAATAGACTGGATGTTTCAAAGCGTGTGGGATAGGGATAAGGCATAATTGTGAGAGTTTACGAAGAAATACATTGCACTGGGAACGTGAAGGAGATAGGAGTAAAAGGGATTATTTATTTTTTATGCGGGAGAGGGGAAACCTTTCTAAAGTTGGATTGGGTGTAAAACGTTTGTCTGATTCCAAACGAAGGCATTAAATTGATAAAAATGACATTAACATTAGGAAACATTGAGTAATCGAACGTAATTTTGGAGAAAATGTATTCAATTCGTTTTATTAGTGCACTATCACACTAAGGATACTTTTTTCGTATTATGCCTCATGCATCCATTGCGACATGGCATGAAGGCTATGCCTACTGGACCAGAACATTATGGGAGTACTTGACGATCTAGGGAGGGTTACATGTTTTTGAGGATGGACAGTTTACAGATAAAGCTCTTTCAGGCTAGAGACTGTTGATTTAAGAATGCCATTTTAAGTCATGAAAACAAACCCCTAGACGCTTATAAATTTTATACCATTATCTTTAATAATTTATCAATGTCCATATTAATAATCACAGTAGTACTAGACAAGATAATATTATTCTAAATGATTTATTTTCATTAAAATATTTATTTATTTTTAAAACAACAAAATCATTCTTGTCCGCGGAAATTTAATTACACAATATTTGTAGAGGTTTTGAGACCAATAGATTTCGATCCCAGACGTTATTGAGTGCATAGGCTTTGTATTGTGTCCAAATGCGTTCGAGACAAGATAAGCGTAGTTGCTTTTTAAAAGAAGCGTAATTATAGTGATAATAATTATTATCTTATTACTGTTATTATCTTCCTTACATTAATAGTAGACATTGAATTTACTGTTGTGAGCAATTAGCAAGTAATAATAGAGAAAGAACATTTAATTTCGATTTAACTATAGTGAGGATTGATGCTGAATTTGATAAGATAGGTCTAAAGGTTAAGAATAGCATGAAAACGAATTGGTAGTCTTCGTATGTTTTTTTTTTTGTTTTTGTTTTTGTATTTGTGGTTTTTTTTTGTTTTTGTCTTTGTGTTTGTTTCTGTTAATTGAATTTCCAGTCTTCTTACCGGCAAACAACTGTAGTCCACACGCTTGTTGCACAGCCGTTTGTTTTTTGTTATCCTCATCTCTCTCAGCTTCATCAATTACCTTCCATGGGACTGTTGTTGCTGATAAAGTTGTTGTGGTTATTTCATGGGTCGTAGTAACTCCAACCATTGAACAATCACAGTCGCAATTAGTCTATAATGATAAAATAATGTATTTCTATTATAAAGCAAAAAATAAAGAGTTCTATCGCTTTAATCGTTCAATAATTAACTTTACATGTTATTTAAATTTCATTATTAGTAAAGCATACATAGACCTTTCGCACCTTTATCAATTTCCCACCTTTGTCAATAGTGAACAGCAGTAGTAAACAAAACAATATCATGGACTAAAACTTGTTTTCATTAAATTATTTATGTATTTTTTTAAACACCTAATTGAATAATTTTGTTTATTATTGTTGACTTACATCATTGGTTTCTTCATAACAGCATGAACACGGTTCCTCTTCTACTGTCGGAACCATTAAGTCACCAACAACGCCATCAGGACCATCCCAGAACACCACACTTGTGATAACAGGTATATTTTGAGGAGCTGCTTTTATGTCCATCTATATATTTAGCCATAAATTTAAAAAATATTTCTATTAAATAAACCATCCGTCGAGAGTTATCATAGCATTATCGTATGCACTCGAAACAAAGTTTCAGAGCGAAATAAATTAGTAAATATATAATAATGGGTAATTTTAAGTTGAGCCCTTGATAAATAGAGTAATAAGAAAATCACAATTAAAATAGTTTTATGCTACCCATTTGGGTCTTGATTAAGTCAAGTATTCTGGGAAATAGACTTATCGTTTTAAAACTTTATTATTCCACTCAGTGGTATTCTCAATTTCAATTAACAACAAATCAAGTAAAGCATATTTCCCACAAACCTTAAATGTTCCACCTTTACCAATGTCGATATGCCTATACACCGCACCAGCCAAGACAACCTCTTCTTGTACATCAACTTCCATCCTCAATGTAAGGTTAACAGAATCGGTAACTTTTATCTAAATAAGGTGTTGAAGAAGTTGTAAGTATATATATTATCTCTATGATTAACTAACAGATATAATTACTCAAGTTTATGTGATATATGCTTTTTGATTGTATTTAATTGAGAAGTTCTTTTATAAGTCAAACCTGTTCCTTATTATAAAATATTCGCCAATCTTTTTCATCCATATTCCAAATTCCTTTGCTTTCTATCGATTCCCATACATCATCATCATCAAAGGGTGAATACTCATCGGGACATGCTTCAATGTTTGGATCCGATAAAAATATAAATGATCCTGTGGGAGAGGATAAGAAACCGAAATTTAATAACATTTCAATTAAACCTATAATTATATTGTTGTAATTAAATTAATATGATTTAAATTACACATCTTTAAACTTACCAGACATGTGATCAATAAAGCTACTGTGTGATTTATCATTCATAAAATCCAAACCATCAACTACTAAGCCAGCGCTTGGTCTTGAATTATCAAACAAAATTGGAGACGACATAATTTCTACAGACGAACCCGCCCTATTGGTTGCAGTCAATTTAACGTAATATGGAGTAAGTGGCTGAAATGACAAGATTAAGATTAGTCTGGCTTTCATTTATGTATCATGGCATACACAAAATAAAATATATATACATATATATATATATATATATAATATATATATATATATATATGTATATACATATAATGTATATATATATATATATGTATTTATATATATGTATATATATATGCCATTTAAAATACACATTAACTATGCTACTCTTTATTTCCAAACATACATTCATTGTGTAATAAAGTGTACTTGACGGTTATTTGAAACTGTTCAACCGTGAAATATTATGGAATCAGTGGCTGAAATGACATAATAATAATAATAGTAATAATAATAATAATATAATAAATAAATACATATATATATATACACACATATAATTAAGAAAGGTAAATACAGTGTTCGAATAAAGGACATAATAATACCTGTCTCTTATACACATCTCGAACACTGTATTTAATTTCCTTTAATTATGGAGATCCCACGTTTTGCTTCGATAAATAAAATGTAAGAAGACAGCAAAAAAATACAGATTTGAGCTTGGACATAATCTGAAGCAATATAATTTATTCAATATATATATATATATATATTGAATAAATTATATTGCTTCAGATTATGTCCAAGCTCAAATCTGTATTTTTAGCTGGTCATTCAATTTCAAATTTCAGAGTGATTGCAATTGACCATATTGCCAATTGGAGCGACAAAAATCGCAAAGATAAAGAGAATCACTGGGAACTTTTACTTAAAACCACCACACCATTTGGACTCAATATTAGGAACGTTCTCCCAGTACACTAAATTAAACCTATGGCATGTCTCTTATACACATCTA